CTAAGCCCACATTCGACAAAAGCCACTACTGGGAAAGGCATAAGGTTTACGTCGGGCATAATAGAGTCTTCCTCCCCTGCCAACTTGAGGTGGACGTCGGCAGGAATAGAAAACTCTCGCCTAAAGTACTCTAGTTTGGTCGGGGTGTCTACCCTATGCTTCCACATACCCATGATGTCGGCTTAACTAGAGGAGTTGGGTTTCAGAAGGGAGTGTTTTTGAGGGTTTTAGGGACCTCGGCTAAAGCTAAAAAATACACAGAAATCTGTAGAATCGTTTCAGTTTTTCCTAAGGATTTGCAGGTTTTACAAACAAATCCCAAACCTAGATCTATGGGAACGAAGATTGAAGGCACGAATCTGGAGAAAATGCAAAAAACAAAAACAAAAGCGGTAATTCAGAGTCAAGCACAGTGATGGATCATCAAGAAACACAAGACAAAAGTTTGCGCAGGTATGTCAGGCCAAGAACAGTGGCAAAAAAAAACAAATGTGTGAACAGTGTGAATTCAGGAAACAGATGGGGCAAAACCAGATTCATGAAACAAACATACGGTGGAAAACATGATACAAATTGAAATATCAAAGATATAAGCAGGATTGCAGAGGCAGGGCAATGGAGTTCAGTAAAGCAAGACAAACTGAAACAAGAAGTTGAAATCAGGAAGAAACAGTAACTCACTGAAGGAAAGAGGCTGGTGTTGAGTTTGCCAAAGTCAGACGAACTGCAGCAGCGGAAAAGATTAGCAAGAGCCTCGTCGGAGGAGGTGAACAGCGGTGGTAGCAAAGCTCGAAAGCTTGGAACAATGGAGGATTTGAGAAAGTAAGAGAGAGAGAGAGAGAGAAAGTTCGAACAAAAACGATGATAAGTGAAGAGACGAAGAGAGAGGGAACGAGTTTTATCAAAACTCGAAACGGCGGTAAAAGGGCAATTAATGTGCCTAAAACAGATAGCGCACGCGAGAGCAGGTCGACTTAGTGGCACGTGACAGGTACGGCTCAAAGAAAGAGGGATGCGTGGCAAGAACGGTTGGGAAGCCATGCGTGACAGCTCATACGCGTGTTGAAGCTCTTAGAATTCTTGATTCCGACGAAGTAAGAGCCTCGGCTTGGAGGTGATCTCAGCTGAGAAACTTGAAACAGACTTCGTGAGTTCTTTGTCATATTAAGCTGACATACTGTGACCTCGATAAATGAATGATACAGCAAGATAGCCGGCATATTGGACGATATGACAAAATAGGTTCCATCACCTCAGGATGCCGAGGTAATAGAACCTAGGGGGCAGTTGTGGGGATATATTTTCTGAGTACCAACACGTGGCCAAGGTAACGCCGACGTGTTAGCCGAGGTGCCACGTGTCCTGGTTGTGATACCGAGGTGATCTCGGTAAAGTCGAGGTTATCTTCTAGGATATCAGAATCCGGGATAAGCGGATAAGGGACAAGAGTCCTAGATTGAGGAAGGACTTCAGTCTAGATAAGGATAACGCTTTTAGGGAGTTTATCTTTATCTATTGAAGAGTCCAGGATAAGCACTAAGCAGAAGTCCATTGAAGCTAGGCTTCTATTGGGGCTAAGATTGAGTAAACTATAAAAGTGAGGCACCCCCATGGGTCTAAGACACGCAATTTATATTCTGAACAGTGAGTTAAGCACTTGATTTATCTTTGAGAGATAACTGACTTGATCGTTGGAGTGCCCCGGATGGACGAACCACTGCCAGAATCTCTTCTTTCTGTTGCAGGTCAATCAGGTGTCATCTATTCTGTCAGTGCCCTCCAGCTGAATACTAAGTTGGCAGTGTGGTCAGAAATTCACTCACAGTACCAATCTGGTCAATTAATGGTTGCTGCGATTATTTATCCGGGGCTTCAGGCCATAGTTTAATGTTGCATTTTGACTTTAATATTTCCTTTTTTGTATCACAGAAATTATGTTGTCCAATATATTATAGAGTTTAAGATCCCTTCAGCTGCTGCCAGCCTGATTTCTCAGTTTGAAGGCCACTACGTTTACCTGTCCATGCAAAAATTCAGCAGCCATGTGGTTGAAAAATGCTTGAAGTTCTTTGAAGAGAGCCGCCCAAGAGTCATCCATGAATTGCTTTCAGTGCCTCACTTTGAACAGTTGCTGCAAGACCCTTTTGCCAATTATGTCATTCAGTCTGCACTTGAACATACTAAGGTATGAAACCAACCAACACACACCTCTAATGTCATTAACTTGCTTCCATATTATCGACGTCAAGGAAAATGTTTGAGACCTCTAAAAACATTTCCCCAATTTTATACTTGCAATGATGTGGCATAACAGGTGTCAACTTTTGATTTTTCACACACTCAAGGTCCAACTCTCTTGTCTCATTATTGTGGGTCTCTAGCATTTTCTCCAACTTTAATTTGGCAGGAAAATCTGAAAGTTTGGCGACTGTTTGGCTGATTCTGGATTTTTCACATTGAAAATTGGCCAATTTTCTTAAAAAGTCAGTTTCACAATCCAATTCTTTTCCTTTTTATGTTTTTTGGTGAGCTTTTATTTGAATTTGGAATAGGAAATAAAATTCAGGCTCAAAGTTGGCATTAGGCGCCCTTAGTTCAGGATTTCTAGCTATGTCATACTTTTGGGTCAGGAGAGAGAAAAGAATCACCCTGTATCAGCATGCCTCTCCACCCTGTGTGACAGCATCTGATGTGTGAAGTTTTTCATGTTTTGTCTTAAACCAGGGTTCTCTCCATGCTTCATTGGTCGAAGCAGTTCGGCCTCACACCTTCCTTCGAACCAGTCCATATTGCAAGAAAATTTTCTCGCGCAACCTCTTGAAGAAGTGATTTTGATCTTCCTGTGGCGAGAAAGTGTTGTTGTTTTCCCAGAAGTACTGCCATGTTCACTAATAATAACTACCCTTATCTTTCTTAGGGCTGCCAGTTGTAGATTATCTAACTGTCAGAATTTTGTGCTGCTCTCTAAAAAGCGTGAGTGTAAAAAAAAAAAAAAAAAGCAAGTTTTGCTACCCATCTTGTTGAATTGTGGATATGAATTGTAATATTTTGTTGTCTTGTTGATCTAATACTCTGAATGTACCAGATTGCAAAGGATCGCGATGAATTTGTGCTTCCACTTGTCTACATGCAATGCAATGCACTGCCTGGATTTTTTATAGACTATTCTACTTTTATTTGCTGAAGGATTGAGATAAATACTACTGATGAGTTACTTGTGATTACTGTTTAGTATGCCATTTGGAATTGTATAAATGATAAGCAGCATGAAAACAGTTTTTGATGATATGGAACCTCCTACATGGGTACTTCAAAATGCTAGGAACATGCAAATATGCAAGCAAGCTATTTTTGCCCGACTATATTGAACTTTTCTATTCTCTACAAGTTGTAGCACTAGCTGTTTAAATTCTGTACAAACCCCCCCATCTTCTCTTGTTTATCCCATATTTGAGTATTTAACTTCGACACATGTCTTGTTGGTGCAATTTATATTTATGAATGCTTTTATTATTTTTTATTCTATTTTTCGGAGTTTGTACTAAAATATTTAGTAAAACTTTTGTTTACATTTTAGACACTAGGGCCATAAGTCTGAATTTAAAAATTTTGGGTCTCAAATTCTTTTCTTTTTTATCTATATGAGAACAATAATTTTAATTATTTTTATGTCTGTCCACGTGTCTGTTCGTGGTTGCCACTGATCATTGGCAACTTTTTCAACATGAGAAAAATTTTGAAAATTTTTCCGTGCGGGTGGGGATAGTGGGGGACAATTAATAATAGTGTTTAAAAATATATGAAGAAAGTAGAGATACAAAAGTAGAAAGGATAAAAATGAAAATAAGTAAATAAGTTAAAACAATGATTTATACTTTTCACCATTAGGGGACAATTAATAATAGTGTGTAAAAATATATGAAGAAAGTAGAGATACAAAAGTACAAAGGATAAAAATGAAAATAGGTAAATACGTTGAAACAATGATTTATACTTTTCACCATTATATATTTGATAAGCTATATGTTTAAAATCAAAACAAATCATTAATGATAAAATTCAAATATTAATAAAAAAATCAGTTATAATAATATAATAAATATCACATTAATAAATAAAAATAATTTATGAAAGTTATTAACTTATGGAAAATTTCAATTCAATTTAAATTTTAAAAATTAATTACAAATAATTGATAAAATTTTCAAATATTAATTATTAAAATCACAATCTTTTTCATGAGCGTGTAATAATTTTTTTAGAAGTACGTGCGCTAATTTTCCTATTAATTTATGCGTTTGGATCCTCTGTCCTAGTCCCAAACATTCGTTTTGATTAATGTTCAAAACGACATCGTTTGTTTGAACGGAAGACTATTTAATGGTAGTCCGCTCCGTTTATCCCAAATGTCACTCCACACCGATCATTGATATCGATTCATTGATTCACCTAATCCTGAGGGGGAAAACTCAATGAGCTGCTCATCAACAATTCATCAATTTCGGAACCCAAGTTCAGAATCTCAATCTCATAGCCTGCCAGGTATTAAAAATAACATTCTTTTGATAAATCTCTACATGTTTGAAATTATCAATTCGTTTCCCAATTTTAGGGTTTACTGTCAAAAGCTTTGAGATTAAATTTACAATTTTTTTTATGGATGGGTAATTTATACTTCTTAAATAAATGGTAGCCAGATTTTTACAAATTGCATGCCTCATGGATAGAATGTTAAAAGAGCTCTGAGATAACAACAAATCAACTTAACTAATACTTTGTTCACAACCTATTTACAAATTTCTTAATCAAAAGAAAAATTCTAATCCTGCGAAAAAAAAAGAGCAACTAAATTACAAATACAAATACACATGCTCCACCAAACCATACCTCTGTCACTGAAGGCTTAGCACCCAATATATAAGTAATCACTCTTTGCATCTAATTAAACAAATTTGCAGTACATCATTTGATGAAATTTGTGATGTTATTTGCAATAGAAAAAGTGAATCAAGCTTGTCATGGACTCTTGCTAACATGTTAATCGCTTTACACCTCCTTCCCCTCCAACCACCACCTCCCTCCCTATTCAGCAAATCTCAAATCACCATCAAACCTAGAATCACCACCACAAACTCACCACCACCGACATCAAATTTGAACCATTTTGGCAATTTATACATAATTATTCAATGGAAAATAGCATTCCAACATCGCCTTTTCAAATCAATATAAAAGAATCCAACATTTTTTGGTGCTACAAGGTTTATATTCAAGAAAAATAAAAAATAAAAATAAAATAAAACAGAACAAAACAAGAAAAATAAGATGACAATAAAGAGATAAGCCACACCATGTGTGTGTGGTTCGGCTACTACCATACACACACTGCACAAAAACCCCAAGGCTACACCTCTTATTTTATTGATTTTCACTCTTCAATATTTATTTTTACAATAAAACTCCCTGCATAAAAAGTATATTGTGTTAGGTAATAGAGAAGATTGGGTTTTATCTAATATCTAACATATCCATACTAAACAAAATAGCTTTGCACTATCAGTGCACAAGTTTATGAGTCTTGAGTCTTGCTAAGCGCACAAAATTAGTGCACGGAAAAATATGCAGAATAGAAAGCGATCAATTCTGTGCATTTTTATGGGCAGTAATTCTATGCACATAGGTGAGGCTCTACGGAATATTTTAGGTGGATAGCAATTGAGAAACAATGTGCATGGTTGGCCTAGATTCTGGATTGACATGCAAACATGCAATTGCCAATTTTACACTACGCATCACTACCTCCTCAACTTGAGGGGAGGGAGGTGAAAGGCGTTGGTCCAACACATCCTTTAGCTGTATGTTCTCAACAGTTGGGGTCAACAAGGAGGTGATGAAGTCTCCCGGATGCTTTCCTTTGATCACTTCCAGTGCCAACACACCAAAGCTATAAACATCACACTTTTCAGTTACCTTCATTGTGTAAGCAAGCTCTGCAAAAAGAGAGACATGATCATGCACATGTTTTGTTACACTTCAAATTCTATGTCAATTTAATAGAGCATAAAACTATGTTTACCTGGTGCAACATATCCGTATGTGCCTGCAAATGTACTCCAGTTAGAGGAATCTAGCTTCAAAAGCTTGGCAGTGCCAAAGTCGAAATACGAGCCTCGTAGTCCTCATCAATTAAAACATTGTTGCTGGAAATGTCTCGGTGAACAATGGGCGGTGTGCAATCATGGTGCATGTATGATAAAGCATTGGCCACACCGTTAATAATATTCACCCTCTTTGGCCAATCCAATTCTTTAGCTTCTTCATCTTTGTCGAAAATTGCAGCCAAACTACCTCTTTCGAGGTACTCATAAACTAGAAAAGAGTATCGAGCATGCGAACAAAACCCAAAAAGCTTCACTATGTTTCGATGCTTAATTTCTGTCAATGCCCTTACCTCATTTAAGAAATCTTTCCTATCAGCCCTCTCGGATAACGGATTAAGTTTCTTCACAGCTACTATATTAGTCGATGGTAACTTCGCTTTGTAGACAGTTCCGTATCCTCCTTTTCCAATGCAATATGTGGCATCGAAATCCTTGGTAGCTTTTACAATGTCATTGTACATTGCTCTTCCATCGAGTACTGATATTGATAACAGATCTTCATTTGGGTTTTGGGTGTCACTCTTTTCAACTTGTGACTTTCTCTTTCTTGAATCGAAGACGATGAAAAGTCCAATGAATGCACCTAACAGTAAGAGTGCTCCACCAAGAGGGAGCACGATTATAAGAACAAGTGTCCCCTTTTCTAGAGTGTGTTTGTGCATTGCAGAAGGAATTTTGCAAGGCTGCAAGCCTTTGACATTTCCACACAGACCTTTGTTCCCTTGCAATGCTTCTATTGATGCATTGATGAAGGCGTTGCTCATGGGAATAGGACCTTGCAACTGGTTGTACGATACATCAACATACGCCAAGCCACGCATACCTTCAAAACTCTTTGGAATGAGACCAAAGAGTTTATTGTGCGAGAGGTTCAACTTCTCCAAGCTTTGCAAATTTGTGATTTCTAATGGTATTTCTCCAATGAGAATGTTACTACTCAGATCCATCTCGGTTAGTTGAAATAACTTACCAATCTGTGGTGGAATTTTCTGGTTGAACATGTTGTTGCTCAGGTTCAAGTAAAACAGATTTCGATAATTCTCCAAAATACCTGGTATTGGCCCACTAAATTTGTTTGTGGATAGATCAAGTTTCGACAACTTAGTTAGTGATCTGAGTTCTTGAGGTATCCAACCCGAAAGCTGATTATCAGCCAAAATCAGCCACTCCAAAGAAGTCAACTTTCCTAATTCCTTTGGGATCTCCCCAACTAAACGATTTGAAGATAAATCAAGTCGTTCTAGCTGTGTTGACTTTCCAAACCCTGGTGGAATGCTACCAGTGATGTTATTTCTTGCTATTTTTAGGAGTGTCAAATTTGGGAATATTCCCCAATTTTTTGAGAATTCACCATAAAAATTATTGTTACTCAGATCTAAGTAGACCAGGTTTGGATTAGTGCCAAAATCTTCAAATATTTTTCCACTGAGTTGGTTTCCCTCAAAGCGGGCTGTGGCTAAGCTTGAGCAGTTTCTCAGACTTTTAGGGATTGTACCTGTGAGCTGATTGTGGTGCACCGTGAAGTATTGAAGTTTACCACCTTGGCAAAGCTCTGGAAGATTCCCAGAAAATTGATTTTCATCCATTACTAGCTGAACCAATTTTTTCAAATTGCTAAATTCTTGTGGAATGCGGTTGGATAGTCGGTTGGAACGGAGGTTTAGAATTTCTAAACTGGTCAAATCACCTAAAAAAGTTGGAATAGGACCACTAAGTTGATTTGAACTCAATTCCAGATAAATGAGGGACTTCAAGTTCCCTAATTCCTTAGGAATTGGACCAGAGAGTTGATTATTCCAAAGGTCTAGTTTGGCTAGAGAGCTCAAATCACCTAAAGATGTTGGGATTGAGCCTGTAAGATTGTTGGTATGAAAGGCTAGGCTCTTTAGTGATTTCAACTGTCCTATCTCTTGGGGAATGGAACCGGATAGGGAATTGTTGAACTAGTGCAACATAGTTAGGTTATTCAAGTTTCCCCATGTGGAAGGAATAGAACCTGTGAGATTGTTGCCATCCATGTCGAGCTCAACAAGACTGACTAGGTTTCCCATTTCGGGAGGAATGGAACCAGAAAGATCATTTTGATAAAGATATAAATGAGTCAAGTTTCTCAAATTGGTTAAAGAAGTAGGAATGGGACCGGAAAGACTGTTGGTGTACAAAGCAAGCTCAATTAGAGACTTTAACTGACCTATCTCTTGAGGAATTGAGCCATTCAACTGATTATGGAACAAGTGGAGAGTTTCAAGATTTGTTAGCAGGCCGATTTCTAGTGGGATGATTCCTGAGAACTGGTTGGTGGACAAATCAAGATAGATGAGTTTGGTGAGGGAACCAATTAGAGGTGGGATGACACCAAAGAATTTGTTGTTGCTGAGCTCGATATATGCAAGATTGGGAAACAATGAAAAAGAAAAGTTGTCGAGCGTACCATTTACACTTGAACTTGTGAGGTTCAATCTAATGACGCTTCCATCAAGGTTGCAAGAAACTCCAAACCAATTGCAGGGACTTGCATTTGTTGAGCCATATATTATCACGGGGTGAAAGGACCCATGAAGTTAGCAGTGAATTGTTTGCACTTTGCAGGCTGGTTTTCCATGTGAGGAGAGCATTAGCTTCTTTAGCAGAAGCAGAAGCAACTTTAATGGTTGAAGAAAAGGGTGTAACAAACAAGACTAACGAAAAAAAGCAGAGTAGTTTCTCTAAAGGTCCCATTGCTTCCTTTTTTTCCCCCTCCTTTGGTGGATAACTAATGGGTGTTTCAAGGCTCTAATTTATACACAAATTTTCCAATAGTACCCATATTGTTTATCCTATATAGACTTTGAACTTGGAAGTCTTCGTAGACTTTGAACTTGGAAGTCTTTGTAATTGGGTCCCATATATGTAATTTTCTCAAAGGTAAAATGATGGTTGACTTGAGTCCAGTACAGGCTGAGGTTTTGTGTCTTAATTAGTGAAGAAAAACTAATGGGGAAATAACAGTGCAGTGTATCAATCAAAAAAAAAAAAATAAAAAAAAAAAAAAAAAAAAAAAATTACAAATCAATGAAAAACTTTATACACTTTAATAATTAAAATATAATATTTTTCTATGATTTTGTAATTTTTTTTTTACTGTTAGCACTGTAGTATTATTTCCCCCAAACGATTCCCTTATCTTCGATCTTTAGCTTTAGGGAAGTTCTTGGAAAGAATCTAGCTACATGAATGTTGAACTGACCTAATATTATACTGAAAAATAGAAGAAAAAGAGCTTGTGTGGAAGTCAAGAAATAAATTGCTTTAGGCACTTTTTTTTTTTGCACTACTGAGTTATAGTTTATGTACTTATCTTGAGCGAGTTCTAGGGAAACTAATTGAGTCCAAATTTTCTAATTTATTCTCGGTCTCTTTCATAGCAATTGCAACTAGTTTATTCACTTAATAAATTTCCATATGACTGATCGATTAGTAGTAAGTTGAATACTGGGTTGGTAAAAATCTATATTACAAAAATTGATCCAAAATCGAATAATTTAAATGTAAAATTAGTATAATAAAAGGATAGAAGTCGAATTAATTATTGAGTGATAATTTGGGGGACTAAAATTTCCTCTCAATTTTTTGTCATCGTTGTGGTTGGGTTATTGGTTAGATAAGTGTGTGATCTTACACATTTTTTACTGTTTCTGCAAATTTCGTCTTGGTGCTGCAACTTAACCGAATTAACATAAAAAGAATTCTGCTTGGGGGTCTGCTCAAATTCAGCTTGAAGTATAGAGGGATTTACTTGAATTAACATAAAAAAATTTAACTCGAGTTGTCATAAACCAATACAGTACACTTTCTGGAAAGAAGAAAAAAAATTGCAAATAGGGACCATATAAAAAAAATTAATTTGAGTTATACACACCAAACATTAGAATTAATTACATTGCAATATGATTAAGTCTTGCTGTATAAAAATAATTGGTATTTTATAGGCATATTTTGTGTTTATTCGATGTAATTATATATTTTAACAATAGAATTTAGATTGCTTAGAGTCGCTAACCTCTAAAATTTTAAGAGTTAAACTCTAGTTGCTCAAGTTGGCACCCTCCCTATTTCTATTTGGTGATTACTCTTGAAATCTGGCTCTAATCAGGGGTGTAATTTGAGCAAACTCAACAGTCCAAAATCATTTTAGGATTCAAGCAATATATATTTTAATTTGATGCAGACTTTGGACAAAAACTTGAGTGAGACATGAGTAGAGACACCAGGCAATCCAACCAACCACCCAGATCAGCTACTACCTCCTCTTTTTCCCATCACCAAAATCTTTAGGCTATGTTTGAATCATGAATTTTGATATGTATTTGGAAAGAGAAAGGGAAATCATTTTGATAAATGTAGTTATATTCATTCAAATTTTACTTTTTTAGTTTTCTTTTTCAAATTCCTATCTAAATTCATATCTAAATACAGCCTCAATTGTGTAACTAACGAAACCATGAATAAGTGCTACAATTTTTTCTCCCCATTTCCGTTAAGACCCACCATGGATTTCAAACATATTTTCAAAGAAAGAAATGGACAATATTTGTTCAAATCAAGTGATTTTGTTCGAATTTTATGTTGAATTATTGTTCTAACTTTTGTGGGGATCTCGTATCAATCTATCGATCGATCTGTCTGTGTGAGGGAACTGCTGTGGGTGTGTGGGGGAAAAGAATGTAGAATTGCTGGAAGTTGGGGGGATGATAGCAGTGGCGGGTGGTCATGGTGGGGAAGGAGATGTGGTGGCCTGGGATGGGAATAAAGGAGGGTTGTTCCAGGTGGTTAGGTATGTGTAAGTTTCAAGATGTATTTGTGAGACTCACTCATGTATGTATGGGACCTGCACAATCAATGATTGAGATCCAAAAGGAATTGTGGGGGTCTTAAAAAAAAAAGTCTCAATCATTGTTGTTTGTACATAGTGTGAGAAGTTTAAAATTAAGATTTGTTTTTTTAAAATAAAAAAAAATAAAGGACAAATGCCAGTATGCCATCCACAAGTATTTAAAAAAAAAAAATTTGTTAAATGACTTAACGGAAATGGATAGATAGTTGAAATTATTGCTTATAAAATTTAAAGTATTGGGTTTGATATGAAAAAATTTAAAAGCTTAGTTTGATTTGTTACAATTTAAACAAGTTTGGACTGCAAATTAAACATGAGCAAGTTTGGAAAACTCTCACCACAATTAGATTTTTAAACAAGTTTGGACTACAAATTAAGCATGAGTGAGATTGGATAATTCTCAACATAATTCGGGCTAAATTTAGATAAACTCTCAATCCGATCAAACCTGTCTTAATTGCACACCTAGACCATGTTTTATTAGGATTTTGAGAGAGGAATTGGAATAGTAATTCACAGAGGACTATCAATTTCCTCCCATTGTGAGATTAGCAGTCCTATATGGTTGTGTTTGTTTTGAAGGTGCTTGTTTGAAAGGATTAAGGGGTGGGATTGGGCTATTAGTCCCACCGAACTAATAGTCCATTGCTTGTTCGAAAAATTTTGCACCGAACTAATAGTCCTCCGGACTATTAATCTCACAAATATGGTGTGTTTGTTTGGACGGATTGGATAAGGGGGGGATTGTTATCCAACGGACTATTAGTCTCGGGATACATTGTCCCCGGACTATTTGGTTGGACTGGATTTGTATCCTATGTTTGTTTAGTCATGAGATTATATGTCTAGATTGGACTATTTTTAGTGAATCCAATGTTTGGTTAAACGGACTGGATAAGGATAAATATTCAAAAGACTATTTTACCCTTGTAATTTATAATTTTTATTTAATATATAATTTTAAATTTGTAATCTATAATTTATAATTTAACAACACTAAAAAAAATTAATTTATAAGGCCATAATTTATAATTTATTATTTTTAATTAAATTAAATTTATAATTTATAATTTTTATTTGATTAGCAGTCCTATATGGTTGTGTTTGTTTTGAAGGTGTTTGTTTGAAAGGATTAAGGGGTGGGCTTGGACTATTAGTCCCACCGGACTAATAGTCCATTGCTTGTTTGAAAAATTTTGCTCCGAACTAATAGTCATCCGAACTAATATATTAAAATAATATTAAAAGATAAAATATATTAAAATAATTAATAAAATAAAATGTCATATCAATTTTATAATTATTTTATTTTTTATTTCACAAATATCACATACAATTATAAAAAAAATTAATTTCCTTTTTAAACATAACTATTTAAATCATATTAAAATAACTAATTATTAAAATAACCTATTAAAATAATAAACTTCCCAAACAGGTCGGTGATAGTCTAAAGTCCCAAGTCAGTAATAGTGATAGTCTTCCCAAACGGGTTGGTGATAGTCTAAGTCCCAAGTCAGTAATAGTGATAGTCTAAGTCCAAGTACCAGTCAGTAATTCTTAACATTAATGCCTATGGGAGACATGGAAAAGTTTCATTTGACCAACTCAGAGTCTCTGCAAATAAATTATGTACCTGTTGAAAGAAATAATTATTCACATTTTGAAATTAAGCAAAGTGTTGTAGTTTTTGATAATAAATTGGTTGAAAACTCCACATGAAGGAGTTACCAATAAAAATTACCAATAATTCTAAGTATTATTAATATTTAATTATAACTTTATGAAAAATATTAAAAGTTGTTAGGTTTTTTCTTGGCAATTCCGTTTGACAAAACTCCTTTTAGTTGTATTTGTTTTCGCACATTTTATTTCAGTGAGGCTATGAGTTTTTAGATACGAATCCAACCTAAATTGTGCTTTGCAGAGAAGTTTGTGATGTTAATACTTTCAAGATTGCCACTTCGCTGATTATGACGGGGATCGAGCGTCTATTCCCCCGCTCGAGCGAAGAATGCATTCAAAGTTGCCTCCCCGCTCAAGCGGAGAATGCTGAGTTCCAGAAGTTTGGTGAGTCTACAAAAATACTGTGATCCGTGTTTTCACGCTCTAGCGTCGAAATCCCCGCTCGAGCGTACATCCTGTTTTGAGCATTTCATATAGTGTCCCCGCTCGAGTGTCAATTCTCACGCTCGAGCGAACCTCGCGATTTCAGATTCTATAAATTCGCAAGTTGCTCCAAATCTAGGATAACTTTTTCAAATCTTCTTTTTGGGTTCTAGGGTTTATATCTGGGGATATTTTGCTAGTTTTCTTTGATATTTTGATTGAGTATTCAACTCATGGTTTAAAGAGTATACATCAAAGGATTATTTGTTTGTTCTACATAAAAGAGAGTTGTTCTTCAGTGGATTCTGAAGAATTTGAGCCTGAAGCTTTGGTGGATTCTGTAGTGGCTCATCGTCAAGACAATTTCGAGGTGAAGACGGGGTTGGAAGAGACATATAGAGGTTGGTTCAATTCGGGTGTGGATTCGCTAGGTAATTGAGAGTATACCTGTGTAATTCCTTTATATCTTCTTGGTGGATTGTTTTGTGGCTGTTGTCCGTGATTTTTTTATCACAATTGGAGGTATCCAATTGTGGTTTTTTCACGTAAAATCGTTGTGTCTGTTTGTCTTGATTGTTTGATTGAGATTGTTATATACTGCTTAAAATTGAGACATAATCACAAATCAACATCTAGGGGACTTCTAGATTTTTCAATTGGTTTCAGATTTTTTTAAAAAAATATTCTTTTAAAATGAGATCTTTTTGATTTGTGATAATGGATTCAATACATGAAG